AGGGTCGAGCAGAGGACTGGGACTAGGACCACAGCCTTCTGAAACTATTAACGAAGGCTGTGCATGCAGTCAATTTGTATAAAATTCAAACAAGTTCATTATTCTTTCAAAAGCAGTAAAAGACAATGGTGAATAACTTTTGGTTTTGTAATTATATTTTACAACATAACGTCATTGTAACAAGAACACATATTTAGTAGTAATAGGCTAAAAAAACTTAGCGTATACTCGAGCGTATAAATGGAAATGTAGAGTGGTGCAATAATTACGAAATATAATGACAGCGATCACGGTAAGCGTTTAGCTTTCGCTGTCCGCCATTTTGAATGTGGCAAAGAACCTTTACGAGTAAATTACACCAAGTACTTCATATATTTTTTGTGGATTTGCGGATTTTTTTGAGGATTTTGAAGGATTTCTGTGGATTTTTGAAGGATTTCTGTGGTTTTTAAAGGATTTTTCGGATTTTGATGGATTCATCGGATTTTGAGGATTTCATGGATTTTTTCTGGATTTTTCCCGGATTTTTTGACGAAGTGTACGGGATTTTTGGAGTGAATTGCCCCGAGGGGCATTTCACTCAAAAAAAGCGTACGGGATTTTCGGATTTTTAAAAATCCGCGGATTTTTTAGCGGATTTTTCCCGGATTTTTTAGCGGATTTTTGAAGAGAAAATTTGCTGGATTTTCGGGATTTGTTCGGATTTTCCGGATTTGTTCGGATTTTTTCTGGATTTTTGAAAATCTGTTGGATTTTCCGGATTTGTTTGGATTTTCCGGATTTGTTTGGATTTTCCGGATTTGTTCGGATTTTTTCTGGATTTTTTTTTTAAATTATAGAGTTATAGAGCTAGGTAACGTTTTGAACAAATAATCTTAAGTTGTACGATGTCAACGTTATGCCAGGACGTCAGGGTCGAGCAGAGGACTGGGACTAGGACCACAGCCTTCTGAAACTATTAACGAAGGCTGGGCATGCAGTCTGACTTTGTTTAAAATTCAAACAAGTTCATTATTCTTTCAAAAGCAGTAAAAGACAATGGTGAATAACTTTTGGTTTTGTAATTATATTTTACAACATAACGTCATTGTAACAAGAACACATATTTAGTAGTAATAGGCTAAAAAAACTTAGCGTATACTCGAGCGTATAAATGGAAATGTAGAGTGGTCCAATAATTACGAAATATAATGACAGCGATCACGGTAAGCATTTAGCTTTCGCTGTCCGCCATTTTGAACGTGGCAAAGAACCTTTACGAGTAAATTACACCAAGTACTTCATATATTTTTTGTGGATTTGCGGATTTTTTAAGGATTTTGAAGGATTTCTGTGGATTTTTGAAGGATTTCTGTGGTTTTTAAAGGATTTTTTGGATTTTGATGGATTCAACGGATTTTGAGGATTTCATGGATTTTTTCTGGATTTTTTCCGGATTTTTTGACGAAGTGTACGGGATTTTTGGAGTGAAATGCCCCTCGATGGCATTGTGTAGATTTGGCATGCACGTGTCAAAAATAAGGGCAAAAAAATGTTTAAAAATTAAAAAAGCCCATCATCATTTGATGATTTTCATAAAATTACGTACTTAAATTATCCAAAAACATCAAAATAAAGCTAGTTTTCATATATTGTGCATGAAATATTTAAAAGTTAAAAAGTTTCCGCGCTTGTAAAACTGCGACAACAAACTACATCGCTTGCTTGCATTCGATATGGCATTGTGTAGACTTGGCATGCACATGTCAAAAATAAGCCAAAAAAATGTTTACAAAAAGCCCATTATCATTTGATGATTTTCAGAAAATTACGTACTTAAATTATCCAAAAACATCAAAATAAAGCTAGTTTTCATATATTGTGCATGAAATATTTAAAAGTTAAAAATTTTCCGCGCTTGTAAAACTGCGACAACAAACTATCGCTTGCTTGTATTCCATGTGTAGATTTGGCATGTACATGTCAAAAACAAGGCCAAAAAAATGTTTAAAAATTATAAAAGCCCATTTTCATTTGGTGATTTTCAGAAAATTACGTACTTAAATTATACAAAAACATCAAAATAAAAATAGGTTTCATATATTGTGCATGAAATATTTAAAAGTTAAAAATTTTCCGCGCTTGTAAAACTGCGACAACAAACTATCGCTTGCTTGTATTTCATGTGTAGATTTGGCCTCGGATTTGGCATGTATACATGTCAAAAACAAGGCCAAAAAAATGTTTAAAAATTAAAAAAGCCCATTCTAATTTTGTGATTTTCAGAAAACTAGGTTCTTAAATTATGCAAAAACATCAAAATAAAACTAGTGTTCATATATTGTGCATGAAATATTTAAAAATTAAAAATTTTCCGCGCAAGTGAAACTGCGACAACAAACTATCGCTTGCTTGTATTTCATGTGTAGATTTGGCATGCACATGTCGAAAACAAGGCCAAAAAAATGTTTAAAAATTAAAAAAGCCCATTCTCATTTGGTGATTTTCAGAAAACTAGGTACTTAAATTATACAAAAACATCAAAATAAAACTAGTTTTCATATATTGTGCATGAAATATTTAAAAGTTAAAAACTTTCCGCGCTTGTAAAACTGCGACAACAAACTATCGCTTGCTTGTATTCCATGTGTAGATTTCGGCATGCACATGTCAAAAATAAGGGCAAAAAAATGTTTAAAAATTAAAAAAGCCCATTATCATTTGGTGATTTTCAGAAAATTAGGTA